ATTTGAGAGTATTATTTTTTAATCTGAACGGATACTTTGTATTTAAAATAAGCAAAACTCTAACTTTAGTCGCCAATTTATTTTAAATATGATTTTTATGTTTGGATTTAGTGGGCGAGATTCATAGTTAAATGGAGATTATTTCATGTAGATTGCATATTCAAATTTTATGAATGATATATTTTTTTTAAATTGCCCTTATTCCAAAAAAAAATTATTTTAAATTTTTGATTAAAATTTTAAGTTTTTATTAAAGTAAATAAAATTTTAAATTTAATAATTTTGGTAATTTAATTTTTTATAATAGATTTATAAATGTTTGTATTTTATTTATATAAATAAAATATTAACTTTTTATTATTTATGTGATGGGTATTAATTTTATTACATAAGTAAAGTATAAATAGATGTTAAGTTTGTAAAAAAATAATTAAATTATATAAATCAATAAATTTAAACACTATTTAATTTAACAAAAATCAAAATTTTTAATTAAAAATGTGGGTAAATACCTTATTTGAAGGACAGAAAAATATAATGTAGCTGATTTGGTAAGGGTTGTACTTTTCATCATTATTAGTAAAAAGGTGAATTTTTAAAGTTTAATATTTTATTAATGATTAAAATAAATATAATTTGTGTGAAACAAAATAAAAAAAAAAAGTTTTTTTTTTTACAATAATTAAACACATAATGAAAAAAATCATAAAAATTCCATTGCCTGTTTAAAAAAAAAAAATCATAAAAAGATATCTAAACTCAATATGGACTATGTTCTTTTATTGTACGTGTACCATAATTTGAAAGACAGCCATTCTTACAACATAAAATAACAAGTAGATTTTACATATTAAATTAATACAGAAAACACACACAAAAGAGAGAGAGAGAATGCCATAACAATGAAGAAACATGACTACTTGTGAAATTTAGAAAGAGAAAATCCTTTCTATTCCACCCCAAAAAGTACCTTGCTAACAATGGGTCGGGCTTTACACATGGCCTCCAGAGGTTGGGCTTTGGGCATGGTGAGCCCTCTCCCTTCAGTCATGTCGACTTCTTCCTCACTGATCCTCTTCCACTCAAAGCACTGAATCATTGATCCCAAAGTCAAGGTCACAGTTCGTTGGGCTAACCCTGCTCCAGGACAAGCCCTCCTTCCCAATCCAAATGGTAGCAACTTATGGCCCTCCTTATTCTCTTCCTTCTCCAACCTCTCTGGTTTAAAACTTTCTGGTTCATCCCAAACATTCGGGTCTCTGTGAATGGCAAACGCATTTACCAATACCATGGTGTCTTGCGGCACATCGTACCCACCTATAGTGCAGTCTGCAGATGCCATATGAGGGACAAGAAGAGGGGCTGCTGGGTGCAAACGGAGTGTCTCCCACATGATGCCTTGTAGGTAATGGAGCTTCGCCACATCCGGTTCGTCCATCAGCCTTTGTTCACCCACTTGAGCATCTATCTCTTCTCTAGCCTTATTCAGTACTTCGGGGTGGTTGAGTAACTCAGACATTGCCCATTCTAATGTGACAGCAGACGTATCCGTTCCAGCAAGTATCATGATCATAACAAGCCCTTTTATGATTTGATCGGTGTAGTATTCAGGCTCGGATTCCTGCAGCGAAAGGAGGTGATCAATCATTGTATTTCCCATCTTCGTGCTGCGGTGCTCGTCAACCAACCCTTGCAAGAACGCATCCATTCTTTTGGCAATGTTTATAACTTTCTTTTTATAGTTCCCAATCCAATTCAACAATGGGAAGAAATTGCGTCCACCATCCCCTATTCCACCAATTCGGATCATCTCCGCTATCAGCTTCTTGAATCGTGTTGCCTCCTCATAATCAGTCACATTCTCCCCATAATATCGTTTTCCTGCAACCATTCTCATGATATTGTTAAACGTTAAATCAATAATCATTGATTTCAACTCCACTTTCGCAAAGTCTTCTCGTGAATTATGAGATAATTTCACCAACAATCGCCTCACTTCATCTCTTCGTATCCCAAGAAACTTGTTGAGGCGGCTAGAGGAGAATATTTCAATGGAAGTGATACGACGGAGGTTGCGCCAATGATCTCCGTATGGCGCAAAGGTCACCATGGTGTGGTTGTAAGCTACATGCTTTCCGATAAGTGATTTTGGCCGATTGGCCAAAACAATATCGTTCTTGGTGAAGCATTCTCCGGCGGCTGATGCTGATGATATGAGAAAAACAGGGCGGGTGCCAAACCGGAGGGAGATGATTGGGCCGTACTTATTGGCGAGGTTACGAAGTGAACGGTGAGTGGGCGGTTTTAAGAGATGGATGTGACCAATTATGGGGAGAGATGGTGGGCTTGGAGGAAGGTTCTTGTACCGTTTTCTGGAGGGAAATAAGAAATTTAAGGCAAGGACGAGGATGAGAGCAAAGAGAGAAGAATACAGAATGATATGATCTTCCATGTTTTTGAATCTGTGGTTCTCCAGGGGTGCGCACATGTATTTATAGATACCATTTGCAATAGGTAAAAGCTAAAGGACATGTCAGACATTATCACTTTATTTTTATTTTTATTTTTTTTGAACATATTTGCAAGGGGTGGGTTTCGAACCCAGCCCGAGGGAGGAGAAATGCATCGGGGTGGTTATTGTCCCTAAGCCGTAAGGGCCAGATGCTATCACTTTATTTTTTTTAAGAAGTGTGGAATATTAATTTTGATTTATATTATTATATTGGATAGAATTTCCTTCCTTCAATTTTTAACTGGAATTTATATATATGAGCAGTGCTAGGGGCACTCGCTTTCTGCACTCTCCGGCCAACACTGCCCCTTTCATTGGGCCACGTTGTTTTAGTTGTGCAGAGGTTGCACTTCAAAGTTTAAAACAACCTTACGTGGCCCATTGAAAGGGGCAGTGCTGGCCGGAGAGTGCAGGAAGCGAGTGCCCCTAGCACTGCTCTATATATATATTACCGAGTTTATTGAGAAGAAGTTAAGCATACT